CTACTCCCATATTAATCGTAGAATCAGATCATGTATCTTTACCTAGCCTAATTAGCATATACAGTATAGTGCAACAAGCCAAATGACTTCCAAAGCACAGACATTTTATAGGGAATTTCCTAAGAAATAAAATGAAATCAAAGAATTACTCACAATTTGCAATGGGTACAGATGGGTGAGAAATTAAAGGAAAAACACACAAACAGTGTGTGTAAGGTTGTGGGCCACCATGAGCAGCCTTCTTAATCTAGTCCCTGTATTGATGTTTTGATGATACGCTGTCTAGCACCTCTGGGTCTTTGCTCTTAGATTGTCTCATGCAAGTTAGATAGTTTAAGAAAAATAAAACCATGTACTGTACTGATTTTAAGCCTAAAAAGGTTAGCCAGTCTGCTCTGAGGCCAACTGAGAACTGAGAGCCAGGTTTCCATGGTAACAAGCTGTGATACCTGCTGACATGTGGCACCAAATGTCAAAAAAAGAGGAAAACGTGGCTCATAGTTTGTGGTTTGTTAACAATGTTGTGGAGTGAGTAGTGATTAAGGAAAGTTTTTTTTTAAAACCACAGTAACACTCTGGAAATACACAGCACTGAGGACATCCTCAATTGTTTCCTGAGCCTAACTGACCCTGACTGGTGTTGACATTTCAAGCTACAGTAAGATGTAGTATTGTTACACTTTTTTTCCCAATGATATAAATTTCCCAATAAAATGTCCTTGTCTCCAAAAATTACATTTTTAAAAAATAACTGCAATATCTTCAGCTTTGTGCAACGGGTGACTTTAGACATCTGTCTGAAATCTGACTATTAATTAGATCTAAGCTCAGGTCAAAGTCTTTGTGAAACCGGCTCCTGGTGAATATGAAGACATATGATTCACATCATATTCCTACTCATCAAACATCACCTTGTGCCCTGTATGGGAGCATCTCTATTTGTTATGTTTCTCCACTCATTCATCCTGATTTTTTCTTTAACAGTTACCTCTCAAAAAAAAACAAACTTAATCCTATTTCTATATTACTGAGCTCTCGTATCAAACCCAGAGAAAGATCAGCCTCACCTTCCGCAGTCTTCACCCCCTCGTCTGACTTCGAACAGTCCTGTACGGAGGAGAATTCAGAAACAGTGATTAACATTAGGACACAATGCAGGTTGACGCTGTACCTCCAAACTGGCAGATGTCCACCTTTTTATTGCAACTCACCACTCCAATCAGTCCCGGGTCGGTTTCAGTCTGTTTCACTGTCACCTGGATCACCGGACTGGGACGCTTCCGAGCCAACATCGTCATGGCAACGCTGTCTGGGACTGTACTGCTCTTCCTATTAGACAAAGACAAGAGATGGGGGGGGGGATTAAATGACGAGGAGAAAGAGACAGAGAGATGGGGAGTCTATGGAAGTCCATACATCAATGCGTCAATTTAAGAAGAAATGATCTGGCCCTCATCCCCAGAATCCCAGCCTCTCTACATAAAATAAGCTGATTTAAAGAGATGAAGAAGCACTAAAAATAATTGTCTCTGGACTTGCGACTTGCTGTTTCATCTCCCCACCAGCTCTTCAAATATTATAAAGAAATTAAAAGAAATACAGTGATATGGGGAACAGGAAGTGGTGTACTTTCTTTTATTAGTCTCTGCGCAGATCAAGTGTGTCAGAGCGGAGGGGCCGACTGAAGATCACTGACCTCCCCCTCATTAGCTCGCTCATTCACCAAAGTTGTACTGAGTCTTTGAAATGATGTGGAAAGAGTCCGTGTCCCACTCTGAGACAGTTGATCTCAAAACCAATCTGATCTCAAAGAAACAGAGTACTGAGAAAAAGACAAAACCAGAGCGAGAAAGAGGAGGCTAAAATTGGTACTAAAAAGAGGATGTCAAGCGCGGTAAATCTGTAGTATTAGTGGCATTATTCTAAAAAGAGGTTTCAGGCCTAAATGTACAATTTCATTTTAATAATTAAGTTGTATCATTGGGGATTTAGCCCTCTGGCCTAGATTTTGTAATGACTAACCTGGCAGGGGAGCAGCTTGAAGCACAAGGAGTAAAAACTCCAGTTGAGTGTACAGTACATCTCTCTGCATGGCCTCCAATACATCCATAAAGGTGAGACAACTTTCCAGCTACTTCACATTAATCCAGGATTATAACTGTGCCTGCGGGGGGGGGGGTTACCTGATGCTGGCGGGCAGGCAGGAGTCAGAGGCATTACTTTTCTTCTCCGGAGCCTTGCTGAGGTCGGAGAGGCTGCTGCGGACCACCGCCTCGCCCTCGTCGAACATCAGGTGCAGCCGATAGTTGGCCAGCTTGATGAGGATGAAGAAGACAGTGATGGAGGTGCAGTAGATGCTCAAAGCCATGGTGGTAGGGGGCAGGGCCTGTGGAGTGGAGAGGAGAGGAGAGGAGAGGAGCTTCATCATATTCAAATCAACATCTCCAGAGTCTCCACCAGACCAGTGTTTGATTTAATGCTTCGTGCTGTAGAAGCAGAAACTATCTCTTCTCATCTTATTAGATGAAATTCTGCGAGGTTATTTGGTCACACAGACACACTGTTTCCCCAAGTGCATTACAGGCTCGGTGAACCACGAGATCTAATATGATTAACTGGTGGATTAATGAAGTTTATTGATCCCCAGGGGAGGAATAGCCCATAGAAAAGAACAGGAAGATTAAAGACTAAGCATCTGCATCATGCTGATACATGAGTCATACTGGTCTGGGGACTTGCTGTGTTGGATGTGGACCCTCATTAATGTCTGCAGGTACAAATGTACAGTCTAAATATACAGCCCAGTGTCATTTCTGCTTTTATTTGATTGTCCCCTCGACTTTGTGCCACCGTTTATCTTGCGGTGTGTGTTGTGTGTGACCTTCAGATAAAGTGCTAATAAACTTGAAATTTGAAACATCTCTCTCAGAAAAGCGTGTGTTGTTTTTGCAGGGGAAGCTGTGGGTGTTTTCAAACAGACTGTGAAAACTGTCTGCCACAACATTTTAATACAGCCTCAGTGGCAAATGTCTGAGCTGTCAACCCCTCACAGCAGAATCTGCTACTTTGCCTGACTAACTTTCATTCACGGGCAGCTGATTTCTGGTCACCTGAACGCACAGCAAGACACACAGTCAGCCCTGGTGTATTGCATTGAGACTGTGTGTGAGTGAGCATCACATCCCAGAATCCTAATGTGCAATACTTTAATATCTAATCTGAATAAAACTGATCAGTGTACTGATAATCATTGTTTATGAGTGAATGTGCAGCACATGGCTGTTGTTTCCATTCTTTTTCAAGAGGTGTGTTTTATCATAAGGTCAAGGTGTTTGACCTATAGCAGCAACTCTTCTCTTTATTCGCCACAACCCTGCTGTGTGACTGTAATAGAGGGTTTCCTTCTGCATCTCCACACATCTACAAGGTAAACAGTAACAAATCCTACACGCAGGTTTCTCACTCGGGATATAAATGCAGCCTGTGTTGCACCTATCTCAAAGGCCAAGACATGAAAATAGGAGTGAGCCACAGTTTCACGCCTCCTGGCTCTCTCCCACTGCCTCATCCATGAGCAGCCATGCGTTCCGTCACCGCATGCGAGGAAAAAATACTGCGACAGTGGTGTTTTCCTCTAGCCTCCCTCAGTAGCACCCAGACAATGAAAGATATTACATTCTTGCACAGCCACGGCGCGTTTTATAGGATGGGATATAAGGGCGCAAGACAAAATCAAGCCCCGTTACCTATAGGTACAGTGGGCCTTGAACGTCATGTTCCCCTAATAAAAAAACTCACCAGATGGAGAGACAGGGGCAACATCAGGAGAAATATCCACAGATAGAGGTGGCAGGAGTTGTTGAATTTGTTCTGGTCCGGGTCGTGGTACCAGCCCCCGGTCAGAGATGCCCAGACTCCCTGACGCAGGGTCTGTACAACCTGGGAGACCATCTCTCCTCCAGTCTCCTCCTCTCCGCTCAGGTTGGACGGACGGATGATGCCGCTGCTGCTAGGCTACAATGAAATGATCTCCTCTTAATGCATGCTACTGTCGCTACGCCTCCATGTTGGGCCGATATAGCACGTCTCCTGAGCCTTCGCTTTTCACGCCTCATCGGTCTCCCTCGGTGTGGTCCTCTCGTCTGCCTTTTCCCATCCCAATGTCGATTCGTCCATTGCTGCTGCCGCGGTCCTCATCTTGTCCTCTTCGTCTCTCTCTCTCTCTCTCTCTCTCTCTCTCTCCCCTCTCTAGCTGCCTGTACAGATGCGCAGCTCTGACCGCCTCCCCTTCCCTTTCCCACTCCTCCTCTCTGCCTCCCCTCCCTCTCCATCCTTTCCTCTTATACGATTCTCCCCCACCTCCAGCGTTTATCTGCGCACGAACGGTGCACGAAGCCACACAATCAAAGCCACATTGTGCAAAGTATGATTTTATACAGGCGCATATGCATGTGTAGTATTCCTAGGCTATAGGTAATGTGCATTTATACGGATATATAGCCTTGTATAATAGTGTAGTCTTGTTATTATTTTATATATTCGTGTTAATACTAGTAATAAGCCTAGTAATAGTGTGTTTATATATGTTTTAGGCTGTCTAGCTGCATGTCTTTGTGTCTCTCTCTGTACATTTGTTCTTGGCACTGTGTGTAAGCACACTGAGAGCCACTTGACACCGGAGTCAAATTCCTTGTATGCCTACTTGGACAAAATACTCGGACAAAATAGTAGTAGTAGTAGTATTCTCACTATAAAGTTACTTTCTGGTCCACATGGCTGGCGTTTGGGAAGGAGTAAGTGTGTGTGTGTGTGTGTGTGTGTGTGTGTGTGTGTGTGTGTGTGTGTGTGTGTGTGTGGGTGTCATCCTATATGGTCCACTATTCCCATAATTTCCCTGAAGGCGCGCTCTCCTCACACATTCCTATAGTAGCTCCTCCCTCCCTCCCTCCCTCCCTCCCCCCAATCTACTGCTGTGGCCGTCACGTGTCCCAGCCTCCACCAATCAGAGGGCAGCAGAGCCAGCCGAGAGAGCAGCGGCAGTAGTCCCAGATCCTCCGTACAGCCACTGCTGGGTCCGACTGCGTTTGGCGACAACGGTGATTTTGGGGGGTTGTTTTGATTAAAGCTGACGGATTTTAGTTTTTTTTTTTTTTCTCAAGTCTTTGGTTTGTTTTTTTGTTGTTGTTGTTTTAATTCCCGCATTGTTGCAGTTAAAACCAAGGATGTTTGATGTGTTTTCTACGAGTTCAACAGTCCCCGAGGGAGCAACAAACTTGGGAATAACCGATGTTGAAGCTGAGAGGAGCCAACTGTTCACACTGCCTTAACTCTCACTAGTCAACGGGCTGAACTATGCTAAGCTAACCCGCTAGCCAATGCAGTTGAAATTCCTGTTAAAAAGTCCCCAAACCAGACAGCGAACTTTACATTTCGGGGTTCGGCGATTAGATGATATTTGCTGGCGACTTTGAGAGAGAAACCCTTCCCTCGGAGCTTCGCTTTACTCCCTCGGAGCGGCCGGTGCAGGTGCACCTCTCTCCGGCACCTGCGACAACTTGTTGCTCCATCGGGGAGAGCTAACTTTAGCTCGTTCGCGTTAGCATTGAGCAGAAAGCAGAGAGTGGGTTTCTGGGAGCTGATGTTTGTCTCGTAGCTGGGATTAATTAAGAGTTAATACATTCATTGTTCACTTTGGTTGTGGCATTAGCTGAAAGTATTCCGGCTAACCGTACCCAGCAAACCTCGCTGGCTCGTTGTTGACCCTCATACGGTTGTATCGGAGACGTGGATAACGTTACGGGCTGTGGACGCTGTCTCTCCCACAGGACTTTGGACACGGTTTGACTCTGCCGTGGGCTGCGCAGGGAGATCCTCTCTGTTCTCATCTGCTAGTCTCGTACATGTGACAGCATGAGGATTTCTAAAAGTTACCTTTTACGGGTTTAAAGTTTTCATTTTGCTCTAAAAAAAAAAAAAAAAGCTCTGCACCCTATGGTGCTGCTACGGCCACCGAGAAATGGATGTCTCGCAGGCCGCTTTCCCAAACGGTGAAGGGCGGCCGGGCGGCGGTGGGACCGGGGAGCATGCCTGGACGGATCCCCCCACAGGTCGGTCGTGGGCTCACTCTGCCCCGCTGTGCCCGACTCGGTCCCTGTGGACAGCCGCATATGACTACGAGGCAAGCGGCGAGGACGAGCTCAGCCTCAGGCGAGGGGACGTGGTGGAGGTCCTGTCCAAGGACGCAGCGATCTCCGGGGACGAGGGATGGTGGACGGGTAAAATCAACCACCGGGTCGGGATTTTCCCCTCCAACTATGTCACCTACCAGCCCGCTATTTACCGTCTGCCCGCTACGAGTGGGACGGTGGGGGTCCCAGAGCAAGTCCCGAGCTCGCCTGTCCAGATCCCTTTCAGTGAACTGGTGCTAGAGGAGATCATAGGCGTGGGTGGATTTGGCAAAGTTTACCGGGGCACATGGAAAGATCAGGAGGTTGCCGTGAAGGCGGCTCGGCAAGACCCGGACGAGGACATAACAGCCACCGCCGGCGGTGTTAAACAAGAAGCGAAACTCTTCTCCATGCTGCAGCACCCAAACATTATTAAACTGGAAGGAGTTTGTTTGGAGGAGCCCAACCTGTGCCTGGTCATGGAGTATGCCCGAGGCGGGACACTGAACCGGGTGTTGACCGGAAGGCGCATCCCTCCACACATCCTGGTCAACTGGGCCGTGCAGATTGCACGCGGGATGCACTACCTACACGAGGAGGCCGTGGTACCCATTATCCATCGCGACCTGAAGTCTAGCAACAGTAAGCAAAGATTGAAGTGTGTGTCTGATTGTGTGCTTTTGAGACGGATGAATTGAATTAAGATGGACAACCTAAGCTTTAGGGGGACCACGAGAGGGCCATCCACCTGTTGCACATGCAGCCCAGTGTAAACTCACTCTATAGCCGCTTCTTAAACAAGACTCCTCTACCTATCTAATTCAATTCTCTCAATGTGTGTCAGCCTGTCACACTGATAGCGATGGTTTAATATTGTGTTAATTACATGTTTAGATCTTATAGGTTGTTAGGAAAACACCGTTTTCTCATTATAGCCTCCGAAACCAAATAATTCGCATATATTTCACAACATCACGGGTACAGCACTGCCCTTTACTCAGGATGGATTAACAGGAGGTGTAAAAAAAAAAAAAGTCTGTGGGTGGGGGATACCATCGAGAGGATGTGAAATAAAGTCAGAGTTTGCTCAGCTGAGCTGCCTCCCCCCACCCCCCTCCTCCCCTGCACTCATCCCCCCTCCTCCTAAAACACACATAAACACACCTTCCCAGCCCCCTCTCCACCCCAAGCTGAAATGTTATTCAAATAAAAGCCAGTGATTTACCAAACACATAACCAGACACACACATAACACATAACTCTGCCTGCACTGTCAGGCCATGTGCTTGACCAACCAGAGCAGAGGTCATAGGGTAAAAAGGAGTCAGACAGAGAACCTGTCTAAGTATCTAAGGAATAATAAATATTCAGCAGGGGAATTTCTCTGTCTTTTCCCAAGGCATTTCATGTTTGGAAGACCTGGGAGTATTTGCAGGTAACTTAGCGGGATTGTGTAGTTGGCACTTGGGTCAGTGCAGTGGGCTAATAACTGTGCTAGTTCCTCCATGAACTTGTTATTGACAACAGGCCAGCAAACTTTAGTTTCCCAGGACTGAATAATGAATGGACAGGACTCAATGAGAATAACAGTCCGAGTCATGTACCCACTGACACAGGCTACCCACTTCAACTCAGGTGTTTTTATGTGTGTAATATGACTCTATTTCGCCCTTTGTGACGAGAGACTCTTATCAACCTGGGGCCATGTGGGGAGCAGCTCTGTCTTACTGATGTCTGTTTATCTCCATCTTTGAGAGTCAATGCGTGCATGTAGAGGCAAAACATTTAAAATGCACACGGACCAGACCCTCCAGGATAAACAGCTTAAGACCTGTTTTGATATATAAAAGATAAAGATTGTTTTTTGACAGATATGTGCACGTAGGTAGTCCTCATATCATATATACTGCTGCAAACATGGCTTGTATACTTACTTATAGTTTCAGCTGATAAACGGCAGCGATAGTGTGAGCGTGACAAAAAGCTTACACCTCGTCAACCCTCACAACTAGTTTTACAGTCAGCTTATACTCACAAGAAAATAATAAAAGTACATTGTGGTTAATCTAAAAAAATTCCAGACCTATTACCCATCATGTACGATATAGTTTCAATACAATCTATCCATTAGACTAAAACGGGTTTGTTTTTTCCAGCATAAAAGTAAAATTGATTCACTCCCTGGTTTTCGAGAACCTTTCAAACAAAACGGTTAAACAACGCGATTTATGAGCATATGATGCCCCTGAGGCCATGTGGTAAACGGTGTAGAAGAGCCCAGCCCTCAAAGTAGTCTTATTTAAGATGGAAGATTTGTGTTAATTATAGGGCAGATGGAGAGAAAGGATTTAACTGCTGTTTAGACAGTTTGAGTTAATCGGATGTTTGGTGAACATACACAAACACTCCCCCCGAACGGGCACAGTGCTGCGAACACAAGTTAGTTTGTTTATCCTGCCACTTCACTGTGACCTAGAGACAGCATACGCTTTAAGTAAAGAGAGATCATTTAAAACTAAACTTATAAGAGACCTTTCACAATGTACTTCTTGCAGTTTTGGGCTCCAGTGAAACCTGGGAACTCAACATTTCACCCACCGCTTAGCGCCTAACCATAAAATAAGACCAAGGAAGACATTCTGCCAGTTGACGTTTGCAACAACACTGTTACCAGTCTCAGGTAGTTAATGGTCCCAGGGTCAGAAGTCTGAACATCTGTAGTCAATATACAGGCTTATCTAATAAAGAGAGAATGAAAGAAGCTGTATGTGTTTGCTTTGAACCAGGGCAGTGAGTTCACAAAGGACTCTCTCCTACACACAAACACAAATGGCACCCTGTGGTGTGCTGGGTTGTTTTCCCAGTAAAAACCTAGAATAATGCAGCTTAGAGAAGTTGTTGCATCTGCTAGTATGGGGCTGTTGTCTGTTTGTCTTGGCGTTGTGTGTGCGTCGGTCAGTCTAAAGGGATAAAAGGAGTGAGAATTATCTACACAGGGGGTAAAAAGAAAATGGATACATCGCAATAAGTGGTTGTTAATCAGCAATCTGTCACTTTTTTAATATTTAATGAGCAGAATATCTGTTGGTGTGGCTGTCTCTCTCTTCAGTATTCAGTCTCAGGGTAAACCAGGACATAGACAGGTACATATGTAGAACTAAACTTCTCCATCTTCACTCAACTACTCGAGCCTGTCATTTATCAACTTGCAGTGTACACATGCTCCACGCAGACAAACATACAGCTATTTGATCAATGATTAGCCTGTAAAGTAATATGTTGGAAGTCAGCAAGATTTGTCCAATCTCTTTTGTGTTTTTCAACCTAATCTGTAAAATCCCAGCCTGCAGGGAGGAATGTTGCTAATGAGGGATAAAAGCTTAACATACGTTTGCACAATGGACTGGTCAAGCAGCGGTTGCTAGGCTACTGTGGCCAGAAGAATGGCTAGGACTCGGAGGGTCTCAAAGCCCTCGTTTTGTTTTGTTCCGTTCATATTTAATCTCCCAGAGAGCAGCAGTACTCTTTTATTGCCACAAACTGAGGGGGTTTCCCTTCTTACTTCGTTATTTTTCTCCTTACTTACCTTCCCTCCCTTGTTCCTTTCTGCTACCATCTTGCTCCTTATTATTTTTTATGTCTACTCTTTGGACACAATTTTCAAAACTTTAAAGGATAATGCCGGAGTTGCTTTTTTTTCTTTTTCATATTTATCAACAAACTTCAACACCAACAAAGAATTTATCCTGCTAACAAGTATTATCTGTCTAGCTGCAGCCTACACTGTTTACTAATACTGTTGTATTGACATATGCATTGATTAAAGTAATATGGGCAATATAGTTGGTTCTAGACAGTGGCTCCATGTCAAGCAGAGGTCACTGTGCACGCAGTTTTGCTTCCATGTTTACAACACTGGAAGGAACAATCTATACTTGCAGTATTCATTGTAATGAAGGAATATGTCCCCTAAATGCAAAATCATGGCTCTTGTGTTTGTAATTGTTCTTAAATGTCAGCGGAAACAGAGAGTGACCTGTGGTGTAGATACGGGCTCTGGCAGTGCAGACAACACTTGTTAAATGTATACATTTAATGTTAATTTAGGTCTTCTCAGGGATTTGTTGGTTACAGTCTTTTTAGAAATGTGTGGTTTTCTATCTTCCTTTGCTAGTCTTAGTCATTGCATCCTTTCACACACCTTCTTTCCCATCTCACAACTTTGATCTAAACGTTCTCCCTCAACCTAGGAGTGGTAGTATTCATAAAGCAGTAGATAAGAGCAAGGAATCGCACTGAAACCTGGCCCTGAGCCAGCGCACATAACCCACACTAACTTTGGAGTTTCACATCTTGGTGCGAGCGATAGTATGCCAGGAATGTGTGCTTGAACGCCACTGAAACTGATGGAGTTCTGTTTGGAGCGTGTGCAGCAGCATTCTCCCATCAATCTTAAGCTATTGTTAGACTTCATCACGCTGTCCCTGTGTTCCCCTCCCTCTCCCTGTCTCTCTCTCCAGTCCACACACCCATTATTCTTTAGATCTGTGAAGACCTGGTAAAAGTCATAGAAGCACAGAAAGGATTTCCTTTTATGTCAGTACTGAAATTAGTACACATAATATGTGTAGAGAACATGTTGAATTTAGAAGGATAACCATCACACCACTGACGGACCTTATTTGGACCTAGCAACCAGGGAAAGTGTTATTTCCATCTCCATATTTGTCGTACGCTGCGAAAAAAGTAAGCTTAAGTTCAAAGTATAAATAGGAAGGTTGTGATGAATCATAGTTTTCTCAGTAAGTCACATTAATCATATTGTTATTACACAGCAGCCCCAATCATAAGATTAAAATGGCCAAAATAGGGAGGAAGTCAACATTGTTTGAGTAATAAAATGATACTGTTGTGGCAAGTGAGAAATGCACTTATAAGTCACTGTGATGAAACGTGCCATGTGTACGTGTAAAAAGTATATCCTGTATAGTAATAATTTTTACATGATTGTGGTGATACATGAGGGTGGATCTTAAGGTGACTAAATTCCTTTATTATGTTTTCTTTCCCACTATGGTTGAAATAAAACCAACCAGCCATGACTGTTGCAAATAAAAATATGCATAAAAAAAGGGAAAATTAGGGGTGCGCCTATCGCACATTTTCTGCCCTGATACCCAAATTAAGAGAGTGACAGTGCTAGCTAATTTCCATCTTCCATTTTGTTTTACCTGTCCTCTTGCTGCTGCAATGTTACATATGGAAATGCTAAACAGACCTAGTTTTCTTCTGGATTTGGGGTGCAGTGAACCACTCTACCTCTGTGGGAACAGTGTTGCAAATGAACACCTCTTAAACCCTGTTTGGCGTTACTAGGTCATAACAAGCTCACCACAGGAGAGAAAACAGTTAGTAGTACTTTTACTCCCTCTAGAAAATTCCTCTTTTCCTCCTGTAATTTTTCTGTTGTCTTGCTCTACTTCTGGAATAAGTAGAATCACGGAGGAAGAGTTACTAAAGCTTCACTAGGTGTTGCAGGGCAACTTTTCTCAGGCTTCCCACAATTACCCCTGGTGACACACAGACAGTTACTGCCTGTCTTTTCTCTGACGAGAGAATGGGCAGAGGGGAGAGAGGAGGAG